ATTACTGAAATATTTTTTTGAATTTGGGAGCCAGAATATGCTAAAATGTTGAATGGATGCTGTTCATGGTGGCAGTTATAATTACAGTGTGTGATCAATAAGAAAGCGACAAAATCCATAATTTTACCTTTTTTTTTGGTCATTTCTTTAAAGTAAAATTTGAATATCAATTACAGAAGGCTCTTGGGGTTTAAAGGTTAAAATTACAAATCATCCACAAATCAAACTCGGTGTTATCTGGTCAGGCCAAAGGCCTCATTTTCATTTTCAGTCGTTTTTTAAACACAGCAGGTGTCGTCTTTGTCGTTATTTCGGAGCAAAACCTCACCTTTCTTTTTTTTTTTCTTGCAGCTTACTACACACCCCAAACAGGCCACATTTTTTTCTGACTGGGGGAGCGGCAGGTTTTTTCACAGCTATCACACTCACAGCCAAAACAAAAGCCAACTTGAATCATTTCTAATCGTGGGCCCCCGTGTGTCTCTGCAACTAAGGGGGAGTCGGTAATATTAGAGGTGATCATACTCTGCCCAAATTTCCCCACAACTCCTCTTTTATCATGGTTCCCCTCCCTGTTTCTTCTTTGACTTCCTTCCTCTCTTACTCTAATCCCTCTCTCTCTCTCTCTTTCTCTCTCTCCTTCTTCTCTTCTCTCTCACACCACACACACACACACACACATACTCTCTCTCTCTCTCTCATATGACCATGAACAGTTCATTAAGGAATGTGTGCCTTTTGGGGGGCGGTGGAAGTCTGCCCCAGCTGAGTATTAGAGGGGACTTCTTGATCTTCAAATGAAAATTAGCAAAACCAGATCTATTTTATAGTGTGGTGAGTGTTGTGTGTTGGTGTGTGCTGAGACAGCGAGAGAGACTTTGGGTGGGGTTTGGGTGCCCCTAAACACAAAATTCCCCTTCAGCATTTTTGTATAGCACCAAATTATATTAGGGTGCCCACACTTAGACACAACATTGCCACAATACACACTATTCTTTTCTCTCTTCTCTCTCTCTCTCTGATCACACACACACCACACAACACAACATGTGTGAGTGTGTGGGTTGGCTGTGAGGCCGGTGGATAAATGATAGTGACTGTCTGTCTGTCTGACACAGGGAATGGAGGAAGGATCAGCCTTGGGCATCCTCGACCACTCTGTCATTAAAAAAGGTAAGAGGTGGGAGAGCTCAGTGTGTGTGAGTGTGTGTGCTGTAATGTTGTTGTTGTGCATTACCTGTCCTTTGTGTTGTGCAGCTTCTTAGTGGCCGTGACCTTTCTGACACTGTTCAGCAGCGATGCCAAGGGCGTCTTCTGCCAGTGCGCATCACTTCAAGCGCTGCTGCTATTTCCAACCATCTAATAAAAATGGAAATACATTTATTTATGTTTTATTGCTGTTTTGTGTTACACTAAAACCGTTTTTATATTTTATTAAGTTTGCGTTTTTGTGACTTTTTCTGTAGACAAATTCAGCCTGTGAGATTTATGCTTCAGTTTAAAAAAATATATATAAATTTCCCGGAGCTCAAAACTTTTGGAATCTGACATTTGGTGCAATAGTGAGCCCGGGTTTGCACCTTTAGGAGAACAGGCTGATGAGGGGTTTGAGCTCCTGATATGAAGAAAACTTTCAATTTTCTGCAGGACCGCGCAGACGGACTAAGCGGCTCTTCGCCGAGTGGGCGCCTCTCCCAGCTGTCCTCCCTGAACCAGGCCGCCTACTCCTCGGCTCCCCCGCTCTGCCACACTCCGGCCTCGGACTTCCAGCCTCCGTACTTCCCTCCCCCTTATCCCCAGTCCTCCCTCCCTCCCTACTCCCAGAGCCAGGACTCGTATTCCCACCTGTCAGACCCCTACACCTCCATCAATTCCATCCATCAGCATCAGCAAGCGGCATGGCACTCGCAGAGGTCGCGCTCCGACGAGGGGGGACTCCTGTCACAGTCACACCGGGCTCTGAGCCTCGACCCCCGGCGGGAGTACCCAGCTGTCCCTAGACTGCTGCACGGTCTCGGGGAAGGTGCTGCCGCTCTCGGGGATGGTCCTCTCGGGATGCACCTGGGACACCACGGCCTGGAGGATCTTCAGGTGAGTTTATTTGTTTATTTATTTTGGTTCCCCATTCTTTGGGTGCGTTGGTGTTTGGCCCTGCGCACTGGGAAGACCGTGCGTAAAAGTCACTCGGTGCAAAACCAGTGCGCACAAACATGAACTCTTTAAGATCAAAACCTCTTCTAGGCCTCTTTGATTCTTTATTTTTTTTATAATAACACAAATATCATATCATAGAAAATATATAAGTGCAATGCTTAAAAATACTTGGATGTTGGCAACAAGGCCTTAAGGCAATTTATCTTTAATTACCTTCAAACGACACAATTGATCATGAAACAGCCAACATTAATAAAATGAATCAATTAAATAAACAACTACAACATTTTATTATCACTTTTCATTAATCTTTGATTTTGTTTTCACCTTCCTCTTTTCACGTATTTTTAGTTAAAAAAAAAAAAAACTCCTGGAGACCTTATTTTATTTTATTTCCCCCTAAATTTTCACGAACAGTTTTGGTGTCTGATACCGAAACAGTTGTGCGTCGCTACTGCAGACCAAATTATATATTTTAAAGAATAAACAGCAATAAAACAGCCTAATGTTCTGTTGGAATGAAATATTAGGTCTAAAATATTAATTCCTTTATATGATATTTGGAAAAATTGTTAAATTTCTCTTCAGAATTCGTTCATAAATGAGTCGATAATAATATATTAGATAAAACCATCCTCAATTCTGTCAAATGTAAATTTTAGGTGGCCTGTTGAATGAGTCTGATACGTCGTTTTAATGGAGTTTTTTGAGACAGAGACGAGTTTATCCAACATTTTACGCTGAAGTTGAGCTTAATGTCTGGAATTCATATTATACAGAAGCCTCTCAGTTATGAGTTTATATAGACTGTGTGTGAAAATGTTTAACACTTTTATAAAATTCAAAAATTTCAGTTCTAAAAACATCAACAACGCTTTTTTTATGGTGACATTTCCCCGTCTCATTATTCGTCAGACATGCAGTATTATCCGAAGTGTCGCACAGAGACAAAGTGATTGTGCTCACACTGCAGCCCATTCGCCTTCTGCAGGTTTTTTTTTTATTTTAGAGAGAAGAATAGTTTCTATGGTTTATTGAGCAGTCAGCTTCCCTGCAGCAGGTGCAGCTGCAGACGCTGTTTGTTGCCTCCTCGCAGAAAAACACACCGAGACCAATTGATCTGCACGGTCATTAATAGAAAAGAAACGTTTGAGAGGAGCGCCAGGCAAGGAGTCAACCCGGGCATGTTACTGTTAAACGCTCCCACTTGACAAGGACCTTTTATTTGATTAATGGATTATATCCTTCGCGTTTGAATCCTCTTATAAATTCACCACAAAGGAGACATCCGAGAATCGCCCTGCAAGACAATTTTATCCACAGTGAATGAAAAAAGATCAAATACATTGCACAGACTTTCATTTATTCTTTGGATCTGTGAGCCACGCTGGCTGTTTTTGATTATTACTTTTCTTTTTTTCACATATCAATTTTTCCTAAATGTGCCTACAGCGAGAGAAAATGTTTTTGATGTTCATAAATTGGAAATGATTTCTACGCAAATATGCAAATATAAATAAACTGCTGTTTCGTTAGTTGAAACTGTGTAAATGATGACAGTAGCTGTTTAATGCAACTGTTTTAGTAAATAAGTAGATTTATTGAAATAAAAAATGAAAAGAGGCAACTGTTCTTCAAAAAAATCTGATTTATGGACCAAACATTTTCACCACAACTTCATAAATAACATGAAAATATATATTTATATGATTCTGCTAATTTAAAATATTAAATGGCCAAGAATCCTTTTGCTGAAGGTGTGTAGAAATATATATATATAAAAAAATGTTAAATTATCTCTGTCATAACTTCCATCATTTATCATCTGCTTTTCCATTTTGCTCCAAAAAGTTAAATCCAATAAGAGAAACAGATTGTATTATTTACTTGGATCTGGAGAGTTTTCATATTTGCTGTAAGGGGAAAAACCTAATGTTGGACCTTCCATCTTGCTTTGGCCTGAGAGAGACAAGATGTGTGTGTGTGTGTGTATATATATATATATACGTTAAGCTTAAAAGAAGCATAAACATATAAAAAAAAAAACAACAAGGAGAGCAGAAGAGGAGATGCTGGTGTCGCTTCAACTTAGACGCTAAAAATCAGAGAATAAGATTCTTTCTTGTGTTGAAGTACGTTTCCTTTCGGAATGCTGTCTTATATACAAGTATTACTTCTTAGTGTAACTCTGGTACTTCTCCTATGTGTCTCTCCGGTTGCGGTAAAAGTCCAGAATATGATCTCCCGTGCCATGTTTCTCAGCAAGAAACAAACATAGAATGTAAAAGTAGCAGCGTGTGTAGTGTGCTGAAGGTTACGGCCGGTAATTGAATGAATACAGTACTCCCTCTCCTTAAGAGAAAGTGCGGACCCTGTCGACCCCGTCCCCTCATTCTGGCCCGGGTGCGCGAAAAACGATAAGGTCAAGTAGCGCTCATGGAGAGAATGGAAGGACTCCGTGTGTGTTGATGCCGCGCGTGGTCGTGCTATCTGGCGCAGCAGCTTTTTTCACTCTGTGCGTTAGAGCTCCGTTCGGAAAGCAGAACGATCAAGAACCAGGTAAATAACACCCTTTGATTTACTCGGACCCGTTAAAGAGCCCTGGATTACATCTCGAGCATGTGCTTGGTGACCTCCTCAGCGGTGTGGAGAGCCTGCGCATCCTGTTAAGTTGTTACATTTGGGGGTATTTCCAGAGCAGGTCCACGCATTTCAATCCACACCGGGTATGTCCGCTTCGCTACATCCGCGTGGGCTTTGGCAGAGACCTCCGTGTTTACAGCTTGTTTGGGTTTTACTGATGTCCCTCGTGTACGTTTACCTAGTGTAATTCTATTTTGGAAAGAGTTTTTGTTCGTGTAGCCGGAGTGTCAGTAGCACCAAACCTGAAAGAAAATGCTGCCAATCATCACTTCAACCAACGATCATCGCTCCTACCGAGCTGACGTTACTACGAAAACTATTGTTTTTAATAATCTACCAATCGACTGTGCTGCTCTTTTAGAGTCATCTTGCAGACCATAAACGGAATTCTGCCTGATTTTTCTTGGGGGGCTGACAATTTACATGCCCGCTTTCCCGGTAAATTTGCCTTGATCTTTGCGTCTGCGGTAAAACTCCTAGACGTGTCAGGGGTCCATACTTCCTCCGGACGAGCCTTCCTGACACTCGAGTTTTTAGCTGTTCTGGCGCCGCGCATGCTGTCTGCGCGAGAGGCTCTTTGTCTGCACCATGTCACAGCGAAGTTGACGACTGCGAGACTGAAGTAAGAGCTGTCCACTCACCTGCAACGCAACGGTGCTGCACTGCCGAGACAGACGCTGGTCAGTCCTTTCTGGAGTGCCTTGCGTTCAAACCGCTTCTCAAGCCAGCCTTCCAAATGTTTCGCAACTCGTTCGTGGTGTAAGAGTCAACAGCGCGATGACACGCGCCAGTCCCTCGCACTGTGTGTTGATGTGTGACAGACATAAACTATATAACTTATGTAGTGTGTGGTGGTGTGTGTGACTGGCTGGCTGTGTGTGTCCTGATGCTTTTAACTGGCGCCGGCGCGGCTCTCGCTGGCACATAATCGACATGTGTTCCACCCAACCAAGACATTGATCCTGGGTGACCCAGCTTCTGCAAACAATCCAATTTTACCCAGGGACACGTCGTGTGAGCGACGGAATGTAGAGCTAGTGGACTATATGTTCTTTATTCTTAAACTCCGCTGCCACTGCTGGCGTTTCTTTATACATGAGGGGTTCACGAAGTTGTAATGTCCAAAAATCAACAAAGTCACGATGTGAAGGTTTCTCTTGTGCGCCCTGTTGTCCAGCCTGAACGTGAGTCTTTCTCTTATTTGCTTCATTTTCAGTGTGCGGGTCATGGTGGTTTTTGCTTGCGACAGTGGTGACAGCATTATTTACCACGATGTAACCCTCCAGCGCACCCGCTGCCAGGTTAAAAGCACACACACACACACACACACACACACACACACACACACACATAAATATATATTTATCTGTCACACATCAACCACACAGTGCAGGACTGCGCGTTCATCGTTTGAGTCTAACAAAGTTGAAACATTTGAAGCTGTGAAACGTTAACAACCACTCCAGAAAGACTGACCAGCGTCTGTCTCGGCATGTCACAGTTGTTGCAGTGAGTGGACACTTTACTGTCAGTCAGTCTCACTTGCTGTGACAGTGTGCAGACAAAGACCTTCTCCGCAGACAGATGCGCGGCGCCAGAACACTAAAACTCAGTGTCAGGAAGGCTCGTTGGGAAGTATGGACCCCTGACACTTAGGAGTTTACCGCAGAGCAAAGATCAAGGCAAATTTACCGGAAAGGCATTTAATTGTCAGCCCCCCCAAAAAAATCACCAATGTCCTTTATATTCTGCAAGATGACTCTAAAAAGCAACACATCGATTTAATTATTAAAAAAATATTCTATAACTCACTCTAAATGATCGTTGTTAAGTGATGATGGCACATTGTTCTTTCAGGTTTGGTCTACTGACACTCGCTACAGAAAATAAACTCTTTCCTAAAATTAAATTACACTAGTAATACACAGACATCAGTAAAACCCAAAAAGCTTAAAACACGAGTCTCTGCCAAACTCACCATAGCCGAATAGGTGTGGATTAACATCTGGACCGCTCTGAATACCCCCAAATGTAAAACTTAACAGGATGCGCAGGCTTCCAACGACTGAAGGATGTCACCAAATGCTCCGAGATGTAATCCAGGCTCGTTTAACGGTCCATTAAACTCAAAGGTGTTATTTACTTTTCCTTTATCTCTCTGTTCGACGGAGCTCTTAACGCACAGATGAAAAAAGCTGCTGCCAGATACACACACGCGCGCACAACACACACGGAGTCCTTCCAGTCTCTCCATGAGCGCACTACTTATAGGTTTTGCGCGCACCCGGCAGAATGAGGGGAGGGGTCGACAGGGTCCACTTCTCTTAAAGAGATATATTCATTCAATTACCGGCCGTTAATTCACACACACACACGCTCTACTTTTACATTTATTGTTTGTTTCTTCTGAGAAAATGGCACGGAATCATATTCTGGATTTTACGCACCGAGAGACACTATAAAATACCAGAGTTACACTAAAATAATACGTTTATATAAGAAGCATCTCAAGAAAAATTACATTCAAACAAGAAAATCTTATTCTCTGATTTTTTACGGTCTAAGTTAAGACACCAGCTGCTTTTACGCACGGATATCCAGGTCCCTCCAGTCAAGAATCTTGCTGTTTATCGGCTTTAAACTTCAAATAATAAATTTTTTCCCAAACATTTCACCCACACTGACTCGGTCACACGTTTAAAAATCGATATGTGAATTTTTAATGTATTCGGCTTTTCTTAAAAACAAGCCAACAGGCCCACCGTGTGAAGGATTTTACGCAATAATGATGCACTTTAAGCAACAATGACGCACTTTAAACAGGCCTACTGTAAAGCTGAAGGTTAAAAAAAGATGCACCAACGAACACAGAAAACTCTGTGGTGTTTCTTTTACCTGCAACCCGTCAGCCTTGGACCGGGATTTCCAGAGCATGGTGGTGGTGGTGGTGGTGGTGGCTCTCAGGCTGGGTGTCAAGCTGCAGCTCAGGGGTTAATGTGACGCGGTGGATGGAGAGGAGACGGGCTGAAGGTAGAGAGAGGAGTGAGTTAGTTTGAGAGACGATGCAGGAGTTTGTATGGATGGGTGTTGGGGAGGGGGTAGTCGGGTAGGGGGGGAAAGGAGGGCGGGAGGTGACAGGAGTCGAGGATGGGGTGGATAAAACTTTTTTTCACGGTCTGAGCGTGGAGTATAGATCCAGGGGTGAAGAGGTGAATAAGAATAAAAACGTCTGGCTGGTGATTTTCTTCATTTGAATGATTGCTGCATTTTCATGGTGCTTTTTTGGGGGGTAAATTTGTGTCATTAGAAAAATACTCTTAGTTAAGAAAATAATACATGTATCCAAATATCTGCAAATATGAGCCTACATTTAATATTTCATTACTTTATATCACTTGTCTCCTTATTGCTGCTCTTTAACGGAAGCACTGGATTAATAATAAGAATTGGGGTCAATCTGCATTTCTTTATTCCTTGATCATTCCCAAATATTTAATTCCTTAAAATAACTGAATTATTTACCTAAATTAGAGCCATGGAGCAGGATTAAGGGGGAAAATGACTCTATAGTTTTACATTCAGGTCCCTCTGTGCAAATGTAAAAGGTAAAGATAGAGGTAGAGTGTGTTATCAAGAACTTCAAGCCACATTAGAGCCATAGAAGTCTCAGTGCGCCATCTTGTGGTACTTCATAGAAAAGAGGACTCTTGAATTAAATATAGGAAGTTTTCCTGCTCTACAGAAACCTACTGTGACATTCTGGTTTGTTAAACTTTGTTAAAAAAAACACCTGTAGTCTATTCTATTTATATAAAGCCAGGTAAATAATACACCAGAATAGCAGACTCGTTTTTTGTCGACTGGGGACTTCTTACTTATAAACAAAGACATTCAAATCCCAAGTTTAGTCATGATAAAATCCCAGAACAATTAAAAATAAGACAACTAAAGGAACTTTTTAAATTGCTTCCCAGCTTGAATATGTAATCATCACACCTTTGCCCTGAAAGGAATTAGTTTCATGACTTACAAATTCCATTAAAAACCTGCTTTAATCTGTTCCTTAATACTTTACCTCTTTGCCTTCAAGCCTTGGGGCCCATTTGTTCCAACTGAAGACGTAAATGTTTAGAAAAATAAATGTATAATGTATGAGATAACAAGGTAATGCGTTTCAGAAGCATTTTGTGATATATTTGTTGAAATTCTCTTTACGTCCCGACAGCAATCAATAAATCAAAAGCTTTGAAAAGTACAAAACAAAAACTGGTATCTTTAGCTGACACAAGCCTGCAGAAAGCCCAGCCAATCATTTCATACCGACCCGTCCTCCACGCACTCACTGGAGTCTTCCACAAGCCGAGCAGCCAGGTAGTTCCACCTGTAACTACAACAGTTTGCATCGCAAAACAAAGCAAGAAAAGACACATAGAAATAGAGAAAGGCTACAAACAAAAAGTTTGGATAAAGCAACAGGTCAAATCAGTCAATATCGGTACGGATTTTCAACGATGGTGAAAACTGTGGGACAGGTATCTGGTTTGTTTTGTTTTTTTTTTGGGGGGGGGGGATTGTTATTTTCCTGAACTATGTTGTATGTAGAACTATGTATGAAAGAGATATTAGGAGAGTTGCTCTGCACTGCGTTCATGTGTGTTCAGGGAGTGGCTTTGAAGAGAGGGGCGTGGGATTTGTTTAGTTTGGATACTTTTAAAATCCAGCTGTCTCTTCTTAGTCTCTCAAACATTACCTGTCCTAGTTTAAAAACAGCTCTGCTTTAGGTTTAAGTGTCCAACTAGTTGGTGGCAAAATATACACGTTCAAAGCTCCAAGAAAGAAAACACATGAAAGTAAAAAGGACAGAAAGAGATTCTGGTTGGTTTTCTAACAAAATAGCTCTTTATTAAAGGCATTAACATTTCACAAATGACACGTAAGAGACTGTCTGAACATTTACATTGCATTACACTGGGCATAAACAAAATGTGTTTGTGCATCATAATTTTCCGTTCTCTTTTCAATCCGAGCTTATTTGCAAAGATCACTAGACCAACAGAGTGTGGGGCCTTTATTTCTTCTCCTTATAAGAAAGTCTGGAACAACAGGTAACACATTATTCAAGTCAGATTGGTACAGGTAATAAACACACACGTTTGGCTTCAGTCGTAGCCCTCCTTTATTTGTTTTCAACTCTGCAAGTTAAAAATACTCCATTAGTAGCAGTTAAATATCACTTCACTCCCACTGACTTCTTCAGGTTCCTCATACAGCTCAAAGCTCCTTTATCCTTTCTCACCATGTCTCCAATCTCCAGTTTACAGACCGGGCACTGGTCTGCCATGGCACACAGAGCTTCCTCTAGCGCGCCCTGCGTGTGCAGGTCAGGTAGTGCGCTACACTGACTCAGCGTGGCGAGCGTGTGTTTGAGCCAACCTTCCTCTCTGACCAGGGTGGAGATCCAGGGCTGAGCGCGGACGCAGCCTCCCAGAGCCTGCAGACTCAACCTCCAGAGCTCCGCGGCGTCGTCCCAACTGTCCTCCCAGCCGGGGCTCACCTTAACCGGGCCAGGGCTGGAGCCAGAGTCCAGGGCGCTGCGGAGGAACCGGAGAGCTGTGGAGAAGAAGCGCCTCTGGCTCGCTTCGACTGAGCCTGGAAAATAAAAAGGTATGTGCTGTTAGTAGAGTCTAATATCTTTGAACCAAACCTACCAATAATGGACATTTTGTGGCTATATTTAAATCAGAGACAAATAACTAAACATAACAATAACAGGTCGTAAGAAAGTAACATTTTACAGTCATAGCTGCATTAATTCAAGCCACTAGAGGGCATTAAAACATTAAAACAAGAACAGAACATGCAGGTAACATGTAGGCAAACAATGGCCTACTTTCCCATCGTGTAGACACAGGAACATCAGATACTACGTGTTACTGGACACCTGATAAATCCAGTATTCACTCTGATTATAGCTTCAAACCACTCAGAAATATATCTGGTTCTTTCTCAACAATGATTACCAGCCGCTGTATAAGTTTGTCTGTCGATGCAGTACGACTGTAGGCCAAATTGCGACCACAGATTGATTAATACGGGTTTAAATATATTCTGAGACTAAAGAGTAACAGCAATGTTTACAGCCCCTATCTGCATCTTGTTTACAGCAGCATTTCTGCCCAACCTGGAGCCCACATGATCTGCATTCCCACAGGCCATTTCCAAAGCAAAGGAAGGAAACGCACAAGGGTAACTAACAACATTAGTAATGCCTTCAACTAATACAGTAACAAACGGTCGATGTGGAAACTAGAGGAATATTCTTTGGCTGTATTTAGTAATGCAGAAAGATTAAAACATTCTGGGAATAGGTAAGAGTTATAATAAAGAAGATTACTTCAAAACAAATTTTTACTGGACTCTTAAGCTTTTTTTTTATTGGGCTTATATCCACAGAAACATAATTATAATTTAAAAAAGAGAATATAGGCCTCAGCCTGTTCTAATGTATTGCAATGTTGGTAAAAAAGATTCACAGACTAATCATTACTCAATAAATAAGACAGATGTTATCAAGTCTCTCATTAGAAAGGATAACTTACATGTGAGAGACTCCCTTCATTAATTATGTTAAAGATTTAACAGATGATCAAGTGGGTGACTAATCTCTGTGGACAGTGCAGGAGGGGGGCTTTTTTTATTTTTTGGAGTAAATGCAGCAAACTTGTGTTGTTTTGAACATATGAATGTAAAAGTCTGTTTCTAAAGGTGTTAAAAAATGCTAATAACAATACTGTGGGGCTCTTGTCTAGGCCTTTTTCACAGAAGACATTTTGACACGACACAGCAGGAAAAGGACAAATTAATGACGGCTGAATTCCATTTAGCTGCTCCTGTTTCAGTGTCCTGGTATTGTTAATGTTCGCTCAATGTCTCACTATCACATGGAACAGAGCAGAGCCATTGTTACTGATATCGGGAACGCCTGTGATTTTCCTGCAATGATACATCAAAAATGTGACAAAGGGCTCATTTACAAGCACTGGAACTTGAAACTTTGTCAACAACATTTAATATTAACACAAATACGTGCACTTAAAGTTGTAGGTTTGCTGTGTATTTGCTGGACAAAACCGAGCGTTTGCAAAAATAGAATGCTATACTTTCATTATCAGTGAATCTGAAGATTAATCTCTCGTTTAATCGGTTGATCGTTCTATAAAATATCATAAAAGAGTGAAAAATATTGATTACAATGTCCTTGTTTTCCCCAATAAACTGTCTAAAACTTAAAAATATTCAGTTTACTACCGAGTGTGTGATTGACCAACCTGAAGGAGCTGATTTGAGCCTGCCGATCATTAGTCCCAGTGTGCAGTAATTTGCTGCCAGGACCAGCAGATGGGGTTTATGCACTAAAACAGGGAGCGCTTCACTCAGAAGGGCCTCCAGCGTCTTGAAACACGGGTCCTTTCTAAGCAGAAACAAAGCAGAAAAACAGTGATATCTCAGTACAATCGTATATAAATTAAACACACTTTGTCTTGAGTTAAAAACAGCATGTTAACCAGCTACCTGACTCTCTCTGGCTCTGTGACGGTGAAGTTAAGGAGGGCTGAGCAGGCTGTCTCCATGCTGGGATCCCTGGCCGACGCCATGCCACTTTTCCCCTTGAGGGGGGTCCAGCTCTGAGACAGAAAGTCCACCAGCAGGGCCAGAGTGTCGAGGGTGAGCAGCACCTTCCTGGGACCCTCCTCTGCCGACAGGTGGCACAGAGCCGGGAGGAGATACCTGAAGGGAGGCAGGAGACAAAGAAAGGAAACACTATCAGATGACTGCAGGATATATGGCATTAAATACCCATTTATTCTTTCTGATATGTGCTGAAATCTTTACCTCAGAGCCTCTTTGCCCGTCCACGGCCCCCTCTCCTCTCTGACGGACATGTCGGCCATCCAATCGGAGAGGCCGTGCTCTGGACTCTCGCCCTGCAGGTGGCTCCGGGAGTAGCCGATCAAGAACGGCAGCAGTCCAGTCACTTCCTCCTTCAGACAGGAAGTCTCCTCGGCCAGCCACGAGCACAGAGAGCGGAAAGTGGCGAAGATAAAAGGGTCACCGTAGCGACTCGGATCGACCTACGAGAGCAGGAAGAGACGAGGAGGAAGAGTGTCGTGGAAAAGTGCTTGGACTGAGCTCTGAGGAGATTAATGTTCGACAGAAGAAGCATTACAGAGCCTCTAAACATTGAAGGAAATCTTTTGTTATATAATAAAAGATTTATACTCTTTCTTCTTGACTAGAATAATACAAAAGTATTTTAACACGCTCCAGGTTCATGAAATGTTTTACACATGCTATTCTTTCAAAACCTTCCTGTTGTGCCAAAATATTTCATTCCAACATTTTTTCTCTGGCAGTGCAGCTTTGCTTGTTTTGTTTTTTTGCCATCCCGATTTGATTGGTGTAAAAGAATCAATAAATGTTACAATAAAAACATTACATTTGGTATGAATAGATAGAATAAGAATCCAATTATAACACTACCTATTAATGAACAGAAATCGTGATTTCTTTCGTACGTAAAGCTGCAAATAAACAATTACTTTCATTATCAGTGAATCTGAAGATTAATCTCTCGTTTAATCGGTCGATCGTTCTATAAAACATCATAAAAGAGTGAAAAATATTGATTACAATGTCCTTGTTTTCCCCAATTAACTGTCTAAAACTTAAAAATATTCAGTGTACTATCAAATAAGGAAAGAAAAGCAGCAAATTCTCACATTTGAGAGGCTGTAACTGCGGGGTTGTTGACATTTTAGATGAAGAATACGACTTAAAATGGCTTTTCTGCCAATCAACTACTTGATTAACCTACTAATTGTTTTAGCTCTACTTATGAGCTTATTATTTCAACTCCCTAATAATCCTAGCTAGTTAATTTAACCTTTCCTCTTAATTTGTTGTTGGGTTTGAACATTTTTAGTACTAGGAAGAATCCTTTGGTGCACAGTGAGATTTCCAGAACCAGCAACAAGTAGCAACAAGGAGCCTTTAGCGTCATCCCCCCACCTGCTGCAGGTGGTACATTAAAGCAGAGAAGGCCTCCTCCAGCACCCCGAGGACCTGCCGGCTCTGCTGCAGACTGAGAGTGGAGATGGAGCTGTGAGGAGGCGCAGCGGTCGGTGACACTCCCAGACAGCAGGCCTGCTCTATGGCAGCCTCCATGATTCGGTAACAGCCTGGAAAAAGACAAAAAGAGGAGCGGGTTTAAGTGATGAAGGAGGTTTAATAAAATCTTACCCACCTACCTGGTCAATGACGAACATAGGCGCAAACAAAACATTAAAAGAAACGACGATGTTCAAAATAGGGTCTTGATTAATGGAAATAAGAGTTGCTAAAAAATAAAAAGATGATATTAAAAACAGGGTCGACCCCTGAGGACACCGAGGTCGTGTATTCTGTACAGTTTCAGGGGATTTTAAATAACCTGATAATGAGTTTAGAGACTATGGTTACACACAAATTATACATTTGAGCTTTCTTCTAGTCAAAAATTATATATTATATTCCTGGCATTGTGGGGGAAGCTTTTTGTGTGAAGGAAAATATAATTTGTAGAGAATATATTATCTATATATATTGTATGCAAAGGGTGATTACACTGAGGGCTTTGACTGGTACGAGATTAATTAAACATCCACATTTTAAATGAACAGTTTCAAAAGATGGAAGTTATATTTTCATATGTGTGTTTTAAAAAACTAATAAAGCAGTTTATTAGTTTTTAGACTTCCACGGACAGTTGCTGAACAATAATCAAATCAAACCCAGGAGACAAACAATAAACACAAACTGCTTCAGCTTTGAAGTCGGTGAATTGTTCAGAACGGGCAGATGTTTTACAATTTACAATATATACACTATTTTAAACAAGGACGCGACCTGTGAGTGTGTGCTGCAGCTCTGGGCTCAGCTCGTTGCCCGGCGGTTCCTCCAAACCCATTCGGACCTCCACACAGGCCCGGTTCACCAGCAGGCAGCAGAACTTCGGCGGCCCCACCGGCTCCCATCCACACAGATCCAGCAGACAAGCGCCGAGGACCAGGACCGGCCCGATCTGTCTCGGCGTCAACTTGGCCTGCAGCACGGGCCTCAGGACCCCCCACACACGCGCCACGACTCCCTTCAGCTCCTCGCTCTCGGCCGACACTCCCACCGGGGGGAGAAACTGCACCAGCTGGGCACACGTGTCCAACCTGGTCTGGTCTCTGGCCCGGCAGAAGTCTTTGGAGAGCTCTACCAGCAGAGCGAGGAGTTCTGCAGGATGCCTACTCCACGCTTTGTCCTTGGTTTTACCTGAGACGAGCCCGCCGAGCAGGACCAGCCCCTTCTCGCGGCTGAAAGTCTGGTTTTGTCGCACGGCTTTGCACAGAGCGGGTACGGCCCCCCGGCTCAGCAGCTGCTCAGGACCTCTGGGTAAAGCACACACAGCGGTGAGGACCTGGTAGCAGTCGGCAGCCATGGCCTCGTCGAGCACGGAGGTTTCTTGAGGCGTCGACTCTTTGTTTGCTTCCAACTGCCGCCGTCGTCGCCTTTGTTCGCTCTCGTCCCTCTGCGATTCTCCACCTTGGCAGATATCTTTCCGTGTTCACACCTTCTCTTCCCGCGCGTTTCTGCTGGCTCCGGCGTTTGATAAAAGCCCAGCAGGACGGACAGGTGTGAGGAGCTGGGGTGGCGGATCCATGTCCGGGTCTGTGCTCAGGCGGCCAGCAGAGCCCGTGTCCAGCGAAGGGCTCGTGCGGGGTAAGCCGGGTTGTCTGTTCCCTTGAGCCGTCACAAAAGCCGAGCTGGAAGGTTGAGCCCCGCTCGAGATGGCTCAAGGGTGGGTTTGTCAAGCTGGCTTGCTGGGGCAAAAAGGTTATCTGGAGACAGAGGAGAAAGACACCCACCTTCAGAAACCTTTATGTTTGCTCTGCATATACGTGTTCCTATCCTATCCTGTCTTTGTAGGATTTATTTTGTTCGTTTTGTTGAAACTGGTTTAAAGAGGTGTATTTTGCTCATTCTATATCAATAAGGCTGGTAAAGATTATCTTATTCAAATCACTGTTTTCAATTTCCATAATGTTAAATTAGAGAAAAGTTATACTCTTTATATTTCGAAAGTAAAAAAACCAGTGATTTTTTGGCTTTTTTTTGTTAAATGACTTAAACAATAATAAGTGCATATAAGGAGCACGATATGGTAAAATACATATTTGCAAATATTTGACGATATTAAATATGATATTAAATTGGAGAACAACATTTAGCAGTCTCTGCAGTGTTATAGAATAACCTCATTACAAATGCGTTTATCCACGTTTTATCTTTATCAAAAACATTGCGCTGCTGCAAAATTTGATAATATTTAATATTTGTGCATTGCATCAATTAACTGACTTAATTGTTTTTTCTGCACCTCATAGTAAATTAACTTTAACAATAACAGAGAGGAAGTCATTGCCTGCAACTACCATGCAGATTAAACCTAATTGTTTCCATTTACACCTCTTCTAAGCATAGATGTGATAGTGCCAGTATTAACAAGCACACATATATGCATTATTTTTAACGCTAACATAAAAGCTGAGGATCAGGGAAAACAGTGTGCACTGTGTTTCTTTAGTGGGACCTTACCGATCAGTAGAGCAGCCATATGTGTGGTGTCATTTTTAGCATGCCTGAGTGCATGAAGACACCTCTCCAAACCTCTCGTTTGGCATCGTACAACCTCCTCCACCTTCTCCTCCTCCTGTCCCCTCCCAGGAAGCTGACTGCTCACGACGGTGTAACCTCGGCACTGTCAGCCATTGTACCTTCATAACTATGTACAAGAGGGGGAACATTATTTATTTTTGTACATTGGGCATTAAAATCAAAACTGAGCATTCATGGGTCTTTAACGTTAGCCCCACGTCGCTATCACAACGGAGAGCAGCTCATTTAACGAACTGTCAGTTCGGTGTGCCGAGTCCGTTTAAGGGCGGTTGGTAAGAATTCGACATTTTGAAAAAATTTTTGAATATTGCGATAGGTTCGTAAAATACTTATTGTGACGCCCTCCTCTCGCGGCTTGCAACAGCTCGTGAGCACTTTCCGGAAGGGAACTGGTGACCCACGACGGCCGACAGAAAGCCAATCAGAAAGCGTCCAACAATTCGGGGAACCAACGCAAAGAAGAGATAGCTTGGAAGGCGGACACGCATTTTGTCCTGTTTGAAACGTCGGAGAAGCGACGCACGTTATTTTGAGAGGTCATGGACAGCATATTATTTTTTTAATTTTATTTTATTTTTCATTTATAGCAGTAATTATATCACATAAATGAGAGAAAGTTCAGCAGGTTAACCGTTTTTGTGTAGCACGAACCACCTCGCCATTGACAGTTGGTCGGCAGGTGGCGCACGGCGGAAGTAGTCGGATTAAAGTTGGGAGTTTTCAATTTAAATTAAGACGCATTAAAGGCAACACTGAAATTAACCACCGGTGTTTGTGTAATAAAACTTGTAGCCAAATATGAGTTAGTACACACTGCATCCAAGAAGTATCGCCCATTTAAACAAACTGTGCTTCTGTCGGCTGCAAAACACTCCCGCGGGCGTTGCTGAGCACTTTATTTTGAAACTCCAGCCACCGGATGCAGTATTTATCACTCTGACTGTCTTGACAGTGGTCACACAGGCACATCAGCTGTACGAGCGAGAGGAACACTGACCTAATTAAATGTGCTGGAGGACAACAAACACCGACGAGACACAACGCACCACAGCGACCTGGTCGAAGTAAAAAAAAAAAAAAAAAAGACTGCCATTTGCTGCAACTGTAAGTCCGTGTGTGCACTTTTTACGTCTGTCTGTAGTGGTTGTCGTGATAATTACCATTGAAACGCACCGGACGAATCTCTGTTCCTTCCACGGCGAGAAGTGAAAGCGAGTGCCAGCAGCTGTAAAGCCTCAAGGTGCCTTAAACGGGTCGGGGTGATCCCCCCCTTAGATTATACAGGTGAAATACCTCATGGTGTTGCAGCCTCGACCTTTTTTTATGTTTCAGTACTGGGGGACTGTGTGTGTGGACGAATAATTACTCGATACGAAGTAGTATGTTATTGATTCAACCTGGTCTCGTTTGTAATTTAGTGACAGTGGACTACGCAGGCTGGAGCTATCGGCCTCTATTAAATAATCTGCTAAATGACCTCCTGTCTTGGGATAAACCCTGACTGTTGTTTGCAGGCTGGTAAAAAAAATACATAATGCACGATCCCACCATTTTGGATGAAATGTCTCAGAGATATAACCCCAGGGTGTGTTTTTTTTTTTAGATTTGTTTTAAATTGACTGACCTTCATCCATGCAGTCAATCACGCACTTATTTGCACTTTAATCAGTCTGTTAATCCAGACTCTGCAAGAATCAATCCTTCCTTAAAGAGTAGAGTTAAACCATGATTGTTTTTTCTTTGTGTTCTTTTATTTTGTCAATTAATTATTTACCTGAAGAAGTAAAAGTATAGATCCAGATGTTCCTTATTTAGCCAGATCGAGGATCATCATCTTTAATATTAAAATGGTAGACATTCAACTCTTTGTCTTTGCTGTAAGGCTTTAACCACCAGATGTCTGCTATTAATGCTCATATTTTACTGATTAATTTGTTGACAGCTCAGTTAAGTCTTCGTAAGTTCGCATGGGGGAATTTGATTTAGCAGCAGAACAAAAACAGATGCATCGAAACACTCATCCCCTCTGTAAACATAATGAAAACCATCAATTACAGTGAGTGACGTCCAATAGTAATAACAATAAGTGACAGTAATGAGTAAAAGGAGAGCAGAAAACGGGTGAACCAAGAAAAAGGAAGTTTAAAAGCAGCTCAGTGTGATTCATAATACCAAGAAAAGGGCAAGATCATTAGGCAAAAGCAGCCTAAGTATAATCTGAGTTTGATGTGAGTCTTCTGGGGAAAAATATATGAGAAGTTAGAGGCTAATTGCATGTGTTTATATACAGTCAGAGGTTAATTAATGGTCTCATTGTGCATTCGTATCTTTAATAATATGATATTCCTATACAGAGGGGGTTATGGTACTGCATTGCACACATTAAAGTATTATCCACGGATTAGAGTAGTTGTTGCTGTGAGGATGCTTCTGAAGTTGTTACAGAGAAATGGGACTGTTATTATATTGTTTATATATTTTGCCTGGGAGAGAGAAATAAAAAAAAACTACTTAATTTTCCTTCCATGTAGCAGCCAGAAGAAGCAGTGCGTGGGACTTTGGGTGTCATTACAGAGAAAGCGCCACCAACCTGTCTGCCTAGAAGCCAATACAGAGCTGACAATTGTGCTATTGATTGCTGCAACTGAGAGAGAGGAAGAGGAGGAAGACACAGCCAAAGAGTGAAAGAAAGAGAGAAAGAACTTGTCCTTTCTGGATGTGAGGGAGTTTTTTTTTGGTCACAGAGATCATTGTTTCGGAGGAGCTTCTCGAGGGAAGCAGTTGAAATGTCTATAATGGGTGAGCTGTCATCAGCCCAGGTGACCGAGTGCACCTGAGCGTAACTCCTGCAACACACACTCAAAGTCACCACCAGACTTTGGGCATTCACTGCGCAGTAAAAACACCAACATCTACTGTGTTTGTGACTTCAGCAAGGAGGAGAGAAAATCGTGACTGAATCCCTCCACTTTTTATTTCTGGATTATTTTTACCCGGAGTTTTCTTTTTCTGTTTTTGCTGGCTTACCTGGAAGAGAACAACAAGTGCGAGGAGGACAAATGATGGTTTGTGGGTGTGGGACTTACTGAGCTGTCGATTATAGCACAGAAGAAGGCTGCTGGGGCTCAAAGCGTCTGTGTGCAGGAATGCTGACTCCCATATGGACGCAGACCATACAGGTTTGTGTCAACAGTTCTTGTGGTGCGAGTGTGTCTGCTCATCCTAACTTGGCTGTGTTCAAAAAATAAAAAATAACAGTTCTTTAACAAATACAGTGGAGTTGTAAGATGTGTTTTCAGCTCAGACAAAATGATTTATTATCACAAAATTACAAAATAACTGTTATTGAAGTCATCTTCTGTCTTGAACTTTTTACTGCAAAGTTCAAAAGACTCTCAAATACCGAACAATGGAGATAGAGTAACATTATTTCCAGCCGTACGGATATATAGCATCTACCTTACGTCTGCAGACTGTCTGGAGAGCAGATGTTTGTGAAAGCTGCTGGATTTAGTCCCATATTGCCCCATAGTAGTCTCATGGTGAGACTCTGTGGTGAAGAGGCATGCTGATGTCTTGAACACAGTGTCCCAGGACCTATACTGTTCACTCCCCCCCTTTTTTATTTTTTTTTATCCCCTTCTGCTGTAAGAACTCGCAGTACGGCTCTTCTGCTCTCGACTAACTGCGTGCGTTCTTCATCAAATCACAAGTCAGCCTTACTGCAGTGTTACTTTGCTCCTCATGACAACAGATTCACATTAGCAGAAAGAAGCATGTGAACCACACTCAGCAAGCTGCGTCTTTCTCCTTCTTTTTTCGTGATTCCTTCAGCGAGTTAATTATTGTCTGGCATGATTTTATTGTCATTGCTAATTACTTTGAAATGAGAAACTGCCTCGTCGTACATCCTGGAGGAAGCATTAGGAACGGAGAGATAAGAGCTCAGGAGAGAGGTAAAAAATGTTTATTGTTTTTTGCGTACAGCAACTCTCCAAAGTGTAGTGTTCCCAGGTTTTAACCGCTACTCACATTCGCTTTCATTCATTCATTGTGCTACAAAACGCCACCCGGATAACGAATAGACTACATGGTTTTAAGATTGTGTATATTTAATAATGTGCTAAGCTGTGTCTTTTGGCTGAGGCAAAATAAGGTGAAAAGACACCCGTCATAGAAGTATGCAACATACCGGTAGTTTTTCTTTTTCTCACGCCCTTGCTGCTTCAACTTGTAGTTTAAAGGCGAGAGTCCACAGGAATGTGAGTCATGTTGCTGTCAACAGGATATTAACATATTTGTTGCATAATGAAACCTACTTGTTGTATTTGTTCAACTATGCTAACAGGGCTATATCTTAATTCTTATGTAAGGGGAAAGGGGGAAATTTAGAAACATTCCTCTTCTTTGCTCTCTGTGCAGAGTATCTCCAGTTGAATCTTATTTGCATAACATTTTCATATCAAATTGATGTGTTCTTCTAGTTGCTTCAAATTTTATGGAGTGCTTCCCTGAAGAGCTGAAGCACTGTTGTCTGTCAGTAATCAAGGTAGAGAAGGAGGAAAGACCTGAATAATTCATATTAGGGGGGCGATATGGCTGAAATCATTATAAAAATATTAATAATATTTAATAATACAGAACCTTGTCCCACTGTTTTGTATTACATCAGATAAAACTCTTCTCATTTGTCAAACAAAGACATCAATAACCTATTATATTCAGTTTTATTTACATCTTGAAACATGAATAAACATTGAGTTTTGTAAAATGTTAATACAATCCAACTCCACTGAAAGTCAGTATAGAATAATATTGAATTATCCCACAGCCCTATAAAGCCACAGGTTTCTTTTTTAATGATGTTAAACAATGTTCTCTCTTTCTCTTGAACTCTCTAGCGTTGTGTCTGAGCGGCTGAGCCTGTGAAGGCACCCAGAGACGGTCATGTTGGATCTCTTCCTTAGAGTGCTGGTGTTGACCCGTCTTCACCCGTCACCTCACAGCACCTTGCTGCCAACCTAACTCCTCGCTCCCTCCCTCTTCCCGCAATCTCTTTTCTTCCACCGCCTGGCCCGGGAGAAAGGTAGACGTGGCGTGTTTTGCGGGTTGCTTTTCTTAACCCAGTTTCAATTACATAGTTGGACTGATAGTTGTTAATTTGATGAGACTGTAATTGTTGATGGGAGAGGTCAAAAAACTGAATGTTTAAAAGGATCTATTGGCAGAAATGGAATATAATATTGGCCATTTTGAACAGCCATGTTTCTACAGTAGCCCAGAAGGGACAAACCAAACACTTTTCTTACGTCCTACACACTGGAACTTTTAATGAAAGTAATTAACTTTAGATGTATATTTATTTTCTTGTACAGTCTCTGTATCACTCTGAAGGCTGTTTGGAACTAATGATTTCAGTATATCTTTTAATACTTTCCTCTAAACTTATTTTTATGAGGCATTAATGTGTCAATTTAATTTTACTTCTGTCAGTATTTGAGCATATTGGTTCCTATACACTTTGCAATGTTAAAGGAATAGTTGCACATTTTTAGAAATACCCTTATTTGCTTTCTTGCTGAGAGTTAGATGAGAAGATTGAAACCACTCTTGTGTCTGTATGGTAAATATAAGGCTACTTAGCTTAGCACAAAGACTGGAAACAGTGATAAATGGCTTGACTGACCCTGTCCAAAGGTAACAAAGTCTGCCTAAGAGCACCTCTTAAGCTCATCAGTTAACATGCGTTATCTTGATTGTTATATCCGTGTACAAATTGAAGTGTAAAAACAGCCTGTTGTGGTTTTACAGGCGGTTATTTGTCGGCCTGTTTCTGGGCCGGGCAGTTTTATGCAATGCTAAGTTAACTGGCTGCTGGTTTTAACTACATATTAAGCTTACAGACAAGAAAGTGGTCTTAATCTTCTATTCTCATTAATAAAAAGCGAATAAGCCTACTTCCAGAAGTGTATAACTCTTCCTTTTAATGTTTTCTTATTTAGATGTTTTACTTTGCTTTGGTGGCCCATTTCTGTTGAATGGATCTAGAGTAAACATTAAAGCACACTAATAGTATTATTTCCTTTTTCTAGGTCCTTGGTCCTCGTGGAAAATGTCCTATGCACACCACAAGCTGCTTACCTGGAGCTTACCTCAACTCCTCCTACCGCTGACCTACCTCTGGCTGTTGGCTCCTCCCACAGGTAGATTGAACTGATCGTCACCTTGAACTCAACTGGCGAAACCACATTTGTTGACTGAGAACTGATAAGTAAATTTACATCTGTGCCTTTGCACTAGCAGCACTCGTCTGCCCAGTAGATTCACACACCTTTGATTACTCAGGGTGGGTCTTCATCCTTCTTTACAATCTTATTATGATACTTGGATGGTTTGGATGGATTTAGGTTGTTATTTGGTGTTTACTGTTCTGAGGTGGAGAGATAGAAGTTGGCACCCCTGCTGTGTGTGTATGTGTGCCTTCTTTCTGATGCCACTCCGCTCAGTGGGTTACAATTTGAAACGGGACAATAGGGGCTCTGTGAGTAGACATTGTGTATTTGTGTGTGTGTTGAGGGGTGGGGGACAGACTGGGACAAGGGGTGGGATGACTAAACAGAGGCCAAAGGGTCCTTTCTCAAACAAACTATAGTGCTTTTGTGTGTTTTTTGGATGTGGCAAGACCTGTGTTCTTCCAGACTTGAGTTACACTGACTGATAAAGTCAACCTTAGCTCTTGTGTTGCCATGGCAGCAACTGTTACGGGTATAGCACTATCTGAGACGGTCTGGTGAACTTAGTTTTTGTTGGTTTTTCTTTTTCTTTTGAAGCCACCATAACTGTTGATGGCCTTGCCATGAGCAGGACAAGCACTTCACTGACTAATCTTGCACTCAGCTGAATCTTATGTTAAAAATATCTAGAAATATTCATGATTGCTGTGTTTACAGAGCACCAGAGTCAAAATAATTATATTCAGATGTGTATATTTCATCTTGTGAAGCACTCACTGCATGGGTAAAATATGGTCTCAATAAAAAGTCTCCTTTTAAAAACAATCCAAGGCACATTTTAGGGTTTGTGGAGAATTAAAATGCCTTTATTTTATATGGCAATATGTATTTAAAATGCCTAACACAGGTCTTCATCAGGGTAAGTCTCAGCAGTAGCTTGCACACCTGTTAAAATGTGTAATTCTTAACATTTTGAGTGTTTGTTGTTTTTTATGGTTGGCATTTTTTCAGCAATAAACGCATTTGGTGAAACTGAAAGTGGCTTGGGTTATCGACTGACTCATTTATTCAAAGAATGTGAATTTGTTGGGCTGCACTGTAAACAGATGCACCAGTTGCTCCTCTGTTGTTGTAGTTTTGACAAAGAGCTACTCAAGAAGTATTAGCTGTTCACAGAGGGCTCTGGACCGCGCGTTGATGTTACCACCAAATCAATCAGGACTGAAATCTTACGGATTATAACTTTTTTTTTTTAATGTTTTGGATAGGATCAATAAAAGCAATACCTTGTTCTTATGGGTAGATGTTATTATTGACTACCTTAATGGATGTAAAAAAAAGTAATTTCAGATTTTTCTTGATGCACTGAAAGGAAAAGGGCTTATACGCAATCACTAAGTTCAGTAGTTCAGTTCTTGTGCTGCATTTATTGAAGCATCTTTCCAAAGTGTTGTGGTGAACACTCTTCAAAGCAGGTTAAATCACACCAGACCATCATTACTGGTATTTGCAGTATGTGATTTTAACTTTTTTGCACGTGTGTGTGTGTGTGCAAACTATTGATTTGATCTGCCTCCGTGGGTCGACCATTCAGAACTGCGAGACAAAATAAAATGGTTCGGCAGTTTTCTTAATTCACAGAGTGACTCAGCTGTATTCATTTGTCCTGGACTATCACTCACAGCTAGTTTGGCTTCTGTGTTTGTGTGGACATTAATTTAAGTGGTGGTGAAATATAACCTCGCCTTTCTCTCTGTGTTACTTTTACAGTCTGTGGCATTTTATAGTGCTGTTTTATTGTACCTGGCTACACAGTGAAATTCTACTGTGGGACAAAGGATGGATTGAATTGAGCTCATTTGTAACTGCAAAAGCTTGAATAAAAATAGTTTTACCACCCAGAGCAATGCTCTTGCTAACTGTGCCAGCTCACTGCACTGTTGATATGAGTCGGATATGGTCTGGCTCAGAGGATGGAGTTATGTGCGTGCTGCATACTGTGCTTTGGTTTTTAATCAGCGTCTTGTTTTGTCAGGGAAAAGCCTCACTTCCTCTCTGCTGCTGACTTGGCTGACTGCTCAAACTGCGGCTGCATGTCGGCTTTTCTGAGAAATGTTCAGTCAAAGCTTAATCTGTGAGAAGTTTCACTAGTTGGGATTGGAATTCATTGTGGGTTTCACTTTGCCTCTTTGCCTTTGACAATGCCAAGAGTACCCAACAATGCCCTGATTGATATAAACAAGTAAGATCTTGAAAAGCCTGGGAATCGTTGCCCAGTGGCAGATCCATGATGTCGCCTTTTGGCAGATCCTTTTGATCAAACTACACGCTACACTAGACTCTTTCTACAACTTCTTTGCAGGGAAACCAGTTCGTAACCTTCCTGTCACCCCTGTTTCATGACTGACTTCCATCCTTTTTTTAACTATGTTGCAAAGGAATTGATGTCTCACAGTGACTTGTAAAAGATTTTGACAAGTAGCTTTGGACCCCAGTAAAGTACATCACTGTTTTCTCCTTTCTGTCCCTGTCAAGGTGTGTCAGCAAATCTCTGCCGGGTGACCGGCGGGGTGCTCGGGATTCACTGGAGCAGCGTCATCTCCCTGGGGTGGCACCCTCTGGCGGATGGGAGAGGCGGGGCGACATGTTGGGAGTCCTGCTGCTTGAAGCCCACCTGCAACGCCGTTTGGAGCCTCGGCGGGCGATGTGTGCTCCTCAGCTGCACGCAGAAATGGGGTTGCCCCATCTCCTCCCTGCCCCAGCCCTACCAGGAGTCCCTTGGCCTCCTTCAGCTGCTCTCAAAGGTATAGAGTGCAGCTGAAACAAAGTCTAGATTCATTGAAATGAGTAAAAATCTATTTTTGAATTGATTTTTATGGAGTAATGCAACCAGGGAACAATTAAGCTCAAAATCAAATAAAAATAAATCTGCCTCTGTCTTTTTTGGAGGATTCTTGATCTGTTTAGTTTTGAGCAGAACATTGTTTCACAATTTAAGCAAAGGATGCACAAGGGCACTACTTGCCTTATCAACCAATCCACATTGAATGCAGACTGTCATTTTAAAAATAAGTGTTTCTGCTAACAGTTACCTTCATTAATTCACAGTTGGCCAATATTAAGTTCTTATATGCAGAGAATGCCAATGAGTTTCCCCAAGTGAGGTAGAAAAATTGAGCACTTCTATTCGGTATTGGTATTGGCAGAGTTTAAGTGTATATAGTTGTTTATTTTTTCTAAAATTCTTTGTTGTCTTTAACTTTATTTTAAGGGTCCCGTCTTAACAAGACGTAGAAGAGCTCGTCACGCACAGCATGCAGGAAGTCACCAACCGCAAACAGGACAACTTACCAGCACGGTAACGTCACACAATATTGTTTTAATTTTTTAAAGATTATATTGATCTTTACTTTGTTTGCTTGTAGCAGATGCTATTAATTTGTTAGCCTTATGTAACACCACTAAAATATTCCACGCCTTTCTTTGTTCTTCTTTATTAAATCCTTCCCACCCTCTTTTTGCAATCACTAGTCAGATGGGAGTGTAGTGGTAGATTTGTGGCGTATACAAAGAAATATGAACCTCATTAAAAGTTCACCACATCATTCAAACCTATAATTCTTAACAGGAAAGTGCCAAACCGGAAACCGCTCACCCGACTCCAACAGTACCCAGCACCATCACACTGCTTCAAACAGCCCAGAAAAACCATAGCCAGTTAACCAATGGGAGCGCAGACACCGCTCTATCTTCATCACAGCAGACCGCAACGGTGGACAGCGCCGTCGATACTGCTGCGTCTTCCAATAGCAGTGATGTCAGCACACCCACAGCGACTGCGACTGCGATCATCACTACTCCAACACAGGCTGGTGAGGAAGCCACTATCTGCAGCAGTCGGTGTCACATGCTCGCACAGCAATCACCTATTTCCAGCTCGTTCAGTAATATGTCTTGTCCTCATTTATTAATTATCAACTAATATATAATGTAGCAGCTCTGTGGTTTTGCAGCCCTGAAGGAAGATTTTACATGACTCTCATGTCCTTTCTTTACTACAGTTGTTTAAAATAGATCTACGCCCTTTGAGCTTGCATTTTTCTGTTGCCCGGACTCAAAAAGATTCTTTACTCTTCTTTGTATTCGCTGCTGATATTTGACAAAACGAAGATGTACTTTGCCCACAAATTTTATGGCACACTGCTCAGATGTTATTTTTCCAGATGAAAGGGACATGTGCTTGGGTGTATAAGCAATAGGAATGTGCTGAGACATGCTGGGCTGTTTCTACTAACAAGAATAACTTGTATGATCAGTGTCTCCTCCCTGAAGGCCAATATCTCTTACTGGTGTTAAATTAAAAATAGCAACAATGCCCATGCTAAACAATGCCTGCCATTATCTAACAATAGATAACAAGCTGAACTGGTATAACACAAAAGTTATTCAAAGGTCTGCTGCATTTAATGAGGATCTTGGACTTGCACAACAAGAACCTGTGATTTTGAAGGAGGATATTTCACAATGCCATCGTTACCTTACACAATTCAAGGAAAACAATTTTACACCATGATTAGTTTAGTCAATATACTCAGCCTGTGAGAATAATTGTATCTCCTTCGTAATATCTCCTGTGGTTTTAGAGGGAGTTTTGCCAAGTTTGAGAAATTAAGCCTAAAGATGTCGTAAGTTTTATTTTTTTTTTAATTGCGTCCCAGTTTAGGCTTGGAGAATAAACAACATTAAATGGAAAGCCAGTGTTACTAAATAGGCTGTGGAATGGGTGTTTACCAGGCAAGAAGGGTCTAGGGAATTGAAACTACCGCTGCAGACTATAAGCTGCATTATGGAAATTGTAGGATCCTGGATTTTTTGGAGCTCGACCCATTCTAGAAACTAAAATTCTGGATATTTCGGCCTCTGTTGCATTGATTTTTTTGGTTTGTGATTGTTCTTAATAGTTTTATTGTGTGAGAATATTCACAAGTAAATGCAAAACAGTTCATTTGAATTTACCTCATAAGGAAATGCTGAAGGGTTGTATTACATCTTACTGTAAATACAATCGCATCCAACCTCAACTCCAAAACCACCCATGATGTGGTTATTTATTTGTCTCCTGTTGAATCCTCCTACTCTCTGCCCAGCTTCTGTCCTTTGGTCACCATGCTGTACTTTTGGCATTATCTCTGACTATTTGTTGTTTTCCATGACAGTGAGGGAGCTGGTGGTATCAGCAGGAGAGAGTGTGGAGGTCACGCTGCCCCGCAACGAAGTCGAGCTCAACGCCTTCGTGGTACCAAGGCCCCCGACAGGTAAGACAATGGAAATTCAAGATGTAGGTTGGAGGGGGTTGATTTTAATGTTTTCCCAGTGTATATTTGTTATAAAAGTTTATTTTTTTTATGTAACCTAATAACAGACTGTCATTTGGCATGATGTGGTATTTGTGGTGTTCAGTAATGGATGACATGAAGTACAACCTGCTTGACAGATATATTCCTGAGTCACCATCTGCATACTGTACGTCACACTGAACACTTGCCAGAGAATTTTAAAGCCAGACTGGAAAAAGATTATACAGTTACGAAGAGGAACACACGTCAGGATTTTGTTAATCCCTTGAGCCCTCCTAGACATGCACCAACAATACAAAAATCTCTCATCTGGAAATGATCCTTATCTGATAGATTTTAATTAAGCGCATGAGCAGTTTTTGTTTTAATGCAATGTGTTCATTAAATGTTGCTACTTCTTTACAGGGACAAACTATATATTCGACTGGCGTCTGATAACTCACCCCAAAGATTACAGCGGGGAGATGGAAGGGAAGCACAGCACGACACTTAAACTCAGCAAGGTACAGCCTTCATATTCACGCTCTGCTAAAAATAAAACATGCAGCTGGAGCTGTATTGAATGCATAAACAGAAAGTTTCAGCAGTGTGTGAAAGACACAGATCGTGTCAAAAAAAGATCACTTCCTCTCTGCCGGCTTCATTTGCTCGCTCTCTCCTGTCTCTCTTAGCTGACTGTGGGCCTGTATGAGTTTGAGGTGACAGTGGACGGGGAGGGAGCCCATGGAGAAGGTTACGTCAATGTCACAGTTAAACCAGGTGAGGTCCAACATTCAGCACCTTGTAAGATCTCATTCATGTGGTGGTGACCTTAAAATCTCTCTGCAGTGGCGAGTGTTTATGCGCCTCCTTTCGAAACAAACCAAGATTGCTGCAGACATTAAATTACTAAAACACAATACAATGCACATGCCTGGAAGTAAATATCAATTTAAATATAATAATATATATAAATATGTAATAAATATTTCTGAGCTCTTCATTCAACTCAATATCCTCTTAAAAGTCTTCCAGTCCGTGTTATTGAGGAGATACTTACTTTCTTTCTCTCTCTTTCCTTCCTTTCGTTATTCAGTTTTCCTGTGTTCATAAAATGTTGCAATGATAAGATTTTTTGACTTTTTCTCATGCCACATTGCACAATTTAATAATTTTTTCAACTGCTTCATCACCAGTTCATGCAGTCACTACTGTAAAAATAAAATAATGATAAAAAAGGGGAAATAAGTCATATGAAGTTGAATAGTGTTCAAGGCTGATGTTTAATTTCCACATTCATTATAAAATTATGATGGAGAGGAGGTTGTTTGGCTCTGGGTCTGTTTGTGGGCAGCTGGAAATTGCTTGATGCTCTCCCGATACATATTATTTTTATATGTTTACAAATTATCTATAATGTTTTCATCCTGATTGCCCATACTGTAATTTTGGTCTACTGGGTGTCCATCTTGGAAGCGTGACCCCTCCTTTGATGCTCTTCCTGCATTTTTCTTAAACCTTTCTCTGTTAAAGGTTCTTTTTCCTTATCTGAATTGAGGTTTTAAGGATGGATCATATGCTGTACAGATTATGAAGCAAGTTTGTGATATTGAGCTATACAAATAAAATTGTCTTGACTTGACTAATGTGATGTGACGAAACCCTGGAAAAATGGAAAAGCCTAAAACATTGTGATAACATATGGCACACAGAAGCGTATGCAAAGAGCAGCAGTCACGTGACTCTCTGTGACATACTGACTAAAAGACACTTAGCCTAGAGCTTTAAAAATGTCTTTGTTGTTACTGGTTTACTGCTGTGTTCAGTGAGGGTTTGATACTGATGCTGTCATGTTCTGCTTATATTTGAAATATATTGTTATGTAACATGTAGTTAGTTAGTAGTATGGAAATTTGCAGCTTGATATTAACTATGTCTAACAATCCATGCGCTATTTCTAAATAAGTTAAACAATAATGTGGCTCTTCTGCTACAGTAGGTCTAATATTTTAAGGTAATGTCTTCCCTAACTGTCAGTGTAAATTATATTTACAGATGTTGATTGAATAAACTCAGATCTTATCGTTAGAAGAGGGAGGCTGCTTTCCTCCCACACACAGTGTGTTTACAGTTGACTTTTGCCAAGACAGCCGCTGACTGCTTCAGTCCCAAACAGCTGATGTACAGCTCAGTAAGCGAGTTAATTTCTTGTTTTCTGCCTGACAGAACCGCGGGTAAACAAGCCTCCTGTTGCCGTAGTTTCCCCCAAGTTCCAGGAGATCTCCTTGCCAACCAGCTCTACAGTCATAGACGGCAGCCGTGAGTGTTTCACATGACAAACATTTTGAAGGCCTTGTACCGAAAATGTGTTACCCTTTTCTCTCATGCTGTAAAGTGTATTTAACTGCCCATTTCCCCTGTGTCCCTCCTCCTCTTTTCTCCTTTCTCCTCCACACAGAGAGCACCGATGATGACAAGGTGGTGGCGTGGCACTGGGAAGAGGTTAAAGGTCCCCTGAGAGAGGAGAAGGTCTCTGCCGACACCCCCGTCCTCACCCTCACCAGCTTGGTGCCTGGGAATTACACATTCAGGTACAGGTGGACCTCCTGTAGAGATGGATGGAATTGTTTTAGCATGGAGAGGACCCGAGTTAAATCAGCTATAAATATGTTATAAACATCCCACTCAAGCTTTGACAAAGAGCCATTTGCCATTCAGTTTGTGTATTTAACCTAATTGGTGTCCTTTCTCAGTTTGACAGTGACGGACTCAGACGGAGCCACAAACTCGACACAAGCCACTCTCTCTGTCAACAAAGCCAAGGACTACAGGCCTGTGGCCAATGCCGGCCCTAACCAGGTCTGTACTCCTATTGTAATGGCTCTGTTTTGTTATGCACTATTTTTAAATCTTTAATTAGTAATATTTCTTTCCTTTTACTTCAACCAGGTCATCCAGTTGCCACGCAACTCCATCACTCTGTTTGGCAACCAAAGCACAGACGACCATGATTCCCTGTCCTATGAGTGGTCCCTCAGCCCCGAGAGCAAAGACAAGGTGGTGGAGATGCAGGTGAGATACCCAAAGACTATGCATGTAATTAGTTTATATCTCCCTGGATAAGAGAATCATACTAAGTAATACTGGCGTATTGTTCTGCTTTTTAGGGTGTACGGACACCGATCTTGCAGCTGTCTGCTATGCAGGAAGGAGACTACACCTTCCAGCTGACCGTGACAGACTCATCTGGACAGCAGGACACCGCCCAAGTCACCGTCATCGTGCAGCCAGGTAAACAGCTGGAAAACAAAAGCGTTAATATCACCTGACAACTCTTTCACTCTTATCTTACTTTTTTTTTGTTGATAATCATTGACTCATGTTTTTTTTTATCTATTTATTCAGCTGTCTACACTTCTGTGCGCCACTTAAACACCACTTCTTGTTTGCCCTAACGCTTTCCCACAAGCTGTTTACAAATATACACACAAAATGTGAAAAGTATAGTGAGCAACAGTATTTACACTTCACTTCTATAATGTTTGAAGCTGGAACTTCTATTTGGTTAACGCTTGGTTAACGTTTTGTGAATGTGAATGTGAGGTGCACCTTGGTTCATGTGTACATTCAGCCTGATAAGCGCCTATTGAGGACTGTAGACTGCAAACATACACACTAGCAAGAGGATCTTTCAGTGTTTGAACATGACCTGTTATGTGAACTCGCATCCACCTGCAAGGTCAGACTATGGCAACCACTTGAGTAATAATATCTGAAAGAAATGGCAGGTTAGTCAGACTGTTGATAAAACACTTTACACTTTATGTACTTTAACAGGTAGTATCCAATAAAAACTATCATGGAGTTGCTGATCTAAATACAGTTGTTCCTTTAATATTGTAGTGGGGATTTTCTGTTGTTGAAATATTGTAAATTATATAGTATGGTATTGTAAAAGCCACAGATTTATCAGAAACAAAGATCAAACAAGATCGAATTTGGATAAAAGTAGGAGAAATTCTGCATATTGACCTAGTTTAGCAAACACTGAAGTGAAGAAATTCATAGTTTTAAAGGCTTTTAATGTTGCACTGATTCCATTTTAGGTTTGAAAGAAAAAATCCTCTTTTCCAAGGTATCCCTGGTGGGGATTTCTTGGGAAAAAGGGTGTGTGTGCTGGTCATTCCTGCTTTGTTTTTATTCTGAGAGAAGTACAGTTTGTACCCTGGTGTGTTTAAACCGTGGGGGAATCTGGTGATCCAGTGTCTTTCTGCTTTTTTCCTCTCCTCCGGTGTCCAATTTATGTTGTGTTGTACTCCTGTTATTTCTAATTACCCTAGACCATAGTTAATAAAATGTGCCACTAGGTGTATGTGTGTGTCTTTGTGATTTTTTTTAATGTTATATATGTGTTGTGCCAGTCTAGTTTTAATTGTTTCCTGTTTCTCCTACGTATGAGATGTCGCAGTGTTTACACTTTATGACATGACGCAGTTGTGTGTGTTGGTTGTAAGGGTCTGTTTAATGGGGTATGTGGTGTTGTTTGTAAGGTTTTTAATTGTTTTATTTTTGTCTAAAGTAATTTGGGCCTTGTTGAGGAATTGCACTGATTCCATTTTAGATGATAGTTGAGGGGCGATGTGCTTTGTTTGCTTGCATTAGTGGCGGAAGAAATGCTTAATGTGGTTTTCATTAAACAACCAGCCATTTTTGACAGCAATTAGCCCACTCAGTACTGCATCTTTCATGTTGGTTTTAGAATGAAGATGAATTTTTAGTTTACTCATCCTGGTGTCCCTCTCCCCTGTCCATCCTACAGAAAACAATAAGCCACCAATAGCAGATGCAGGACCGGAGAAAGAGCTAACGCTGCCAGTCGATCGAACCACGCTGGACGGCAGTAAGAGCAGCGATGACCAGAAGATAGCCACCTACCACTGGAAACAAACCAAGTCAGTCAGACACAGACTTGTACACACATCTGTGTAGGCAGGATGCACTGGCTGTAGGCCCTGAAAACCTAGCCAGTTAAAAGCTTCATTGTGAACACAGAATAATACAGTTAAATACAAAATGTACCAAAGAAACTATTTATAAAGCAAACTCTGTTACTTCTGCAGTGAATTCTCCATCATACTTTGTGTTTCTGTCCATCTGTTCCTCCTCCAGGGGTCCTGGTGGTGTGAAGATTGAGAATGCTGACGGTGCCGTTGCCACGGTGACAGGTCTTGAGGTCGGCATGTATGAGTTCACCCTGACAGTAACTGATGACAGGAAGCTGGAGAGTACCGACACTGTCACGGTCATCGTCAGAGAAGGTTAGGAGACTGTGTGTGTGTGTGTGTGTGTGTGTGTGTGTGGGTGTGTGGGTGTGTGTGGGTGTGTGGGTGTGTGTGTGTGTGCGCACTAATCCTTCTCTCTTAGCTGTCAGTAGCTGGAGTTAGACAGGTGAAGATTATAGATGATGTTGTGATAAATAAGAGAGTTGATAATTAAGGAACCGTTTACACCTTTGACGCCTCATAAGTACATCTCTGTGTGTTTTTTAAAGCAGAAGTCGTTCTCTGTTTTAGTTAACATAATATGATGGTGAGTAGATGAGATTGTGGGTTTGTATGCTCGGGGCATGTTTTTTAACTTGACATTGCACAGTGGAAGTGTTTGTTTGTTTGTTTATTTGTTTGTTTGGATCTTTTAACTCAAGGCTAGCCTCCCAAGAGTCCATGATAAAATCACAATAGAACATTTTCAGAAACTCATCCTATATAAAGACATGATTATAAATACCTGCAAACACATGTACAATCCGAAGATATTTAATCAAATAGTTGGATGCGGAGGAATATGCACCTTACACACTTTATGTACACTTACACACCCGCACTTATTTAAACTAATGCTTATAAATAAGTTTTAAAAAAGAATAAATGTCCATCTACCCATTTTATTTTACACTGATATTTGTTTTCTCTATTTATTTGATCACATTTGTGTTTGTCTCGCACTAGGAACTGTTTCTTTTTTATATATATATATATATATATTATATATTATATATATTTAAAGTAAGAAAAGTAAATGTAAGCGTTTGTTGTTTCCAGTTTGTAGTCACTGAGCCTGTACTTGGTTAGGATCTGTCTCTGCTTTCTGTCTCTGACAGTAGAGCGATAGTCTGCCAATTCATAATCTCTTTATAGGGTCAGATAACGTTTTAATCTACTTTGACTTTCAGTTTCTTCTTTCCAATGTTCTATATAGGTTTCTTTGCATTGTTTTATAACTTGGTTTACTCTGATCTGGTGTTTGGAAAGCAGAGTTGTTGTAAGACTGTGTGGTGTAGCTCAGAGGCAGTGTTAATGACAGAAAACAGTCCACACAGCATAAAGCTCCAAAATGCAGAGAGGAAATCTTGTTACCTTTCCTCCCTTTTTGATAATAACATGGGCTGGACAAAATAACATACACTGGTCAGACAGACTCCACTTAACCTCACACTGTACTCTGGGATTGGGGGGTCACTCCTACTTAAACAGGAACAAAACATGACTATTAATCCCCCACAAAAAAAAAGACAATAAATTGTGTTCAACTAACAGAAACTGGGTGTTCAATCTCAAATATATAAATAAGTAATCAAAGTAGAAAATATAAAACTGCAAATACATTGAGTGCTTTGATGATGTTGCACCTTTTTCTACTTTGATAACTGAATATTTCTTAACATTAAAACAGAAAAGAGAAAAAGAATAAGAAGAAGAAGAATAAGCATACATATCTCCTGTGCCTTTTTAATTGTTTAGCAGGTAAAAAACTTTGTTATTATGAGGGTAATGTCTGGATGGACGTGTTTTTACCTTGATAAACCTGTTTGCTGTTCCTGTGATTCTGCTGCTGCAGTGCCTTTATATACATTGTGTGCTATGAAGTGTTTAAGTTGTTTGGTAATTTAACTCAAGTAGTCTGTTGTGACACAAAGGAGCATATCTTATCATGTGTTTCCTGTCAATTGATTACAGTTAATGTGTTTTTATTGTGAAATGCTGCCTCTCTTCAGTCATCTCTTGTATGGTATTGTATTTATGTATGCATATTGTGATAATTATGTGTGCACTTTT